CCATGCAGGGCAGAGCCAAGGCCCTGTCCCAGAGAGCATCAAGGTGGCGCAGCACAGCCGAGCCCTGTACCGTCACTCAGAAGGGAGCGGGGCCGTCCCACCAGCAGCCGAGTAGCAGAGCGTGGTCGCTTTGTTCCAAACCCCAGAGCTCCCCAGTCATCAGCCCCAGTGAGGCATCCACACTGGCAGGGCTGACACCGTTCACGTCCTCACCCCAGGCTCACTTCCTCTCCGCTTCCCCACCACCTCCCACTCACCTGAGTCCCACACTGCCTGAAGCCACACCTGCGGACCTCCTCCCCACCCAGCAGGTGCCCCCAGGTCTTTGCTTTGTAGGAAAGTGCTCAGGGCGCAGGCTGGCACACCTGGCACTCAGGACTCAGGGGAGACACCAGCTCTGGCAGCCTTCCCTGGCACTGAGCAGTTAGCACCCCTCCTCCTCAGTAACACTGAGCACTCTGCTCTCCCAGCCCGGACTTGGCCACTTAGGGCAATAACAACAGATCTGTGATTGTCAGTATTGCCATAACCTACCTGACATCCAATGCCCTCACAAGTCACCTGGAACAGTTCAAGTCCCAAGCTCCCCTGGGATTGGATGGAATTACAACGCCCAAAGTTTACCAACAAAACAGAGAAAATAGCCACCATGCGTGCCGGCACCTCAAAGATGCCAGATCAGGGCCTGTCCACCGGACACCTGGTCAACAAGACCTACTGGGGGTTTCAACCCCAGTGATGGTACGAGGGGAAACTAGCAAGCAGTGGCCCAGCATGGGCTTGCTCCCTGGAGCCCGCCTGGCCTGCCCTCTCCTCGCGTCCCCAGCACCTGGCGAGGTTTCCCCACATAGGAGGACCTCAGAACGGGAATTTGGGCTGGTCCCGGGTGAGGCAAACACAAGTGCCCAAGCACCTGGCAGCCTGAGCAGACCCACAACTCCTGTGAGGACTCTGCAGGCAGGAAGCCATGGGGCGGAAGGAAAAGAAGGGAAGATGGGGGGGGGGAGGTCATGGAGGACCCCAGGGAACACAGGCTGGCAGGTGAGGCAGGCAGACCCCCTGCCCCTGGTCCAGCAGAAGGTTGGTGCCTTCCCGGGATCCTCACCTGCACTGCTGAAGACGAGGGGCCTTCAGATCAGCCAATGTCCCAGGGGAGATGGCCAATGAGAGAAAGCAAAGAGCCACCTGTTCTTGGCCACTACTGCTTAGATTCTCAGCAGCACTCTGCTCACCACCCCTTAGCCTCATGGTACGGGTCAAGCCCCAGTCCCATTTATTTTTTTTTTTAGATTTTTTTATTTATTTGACAGGTAGAGTTACAGACAGTGAGTGAGAGAGAGAGAGAGAGAGAGGTCTTCCTTCTGTTGGTTCACTCCCCAAATGGCCGCAACAGCTGGAGGTATGCCGATCCAAAGCCAGGAGCTTCCTCCTGGTCTTCCATGCGGGTGCAGGGCCCAAGCACTTGGGCCATCCTCCACTGCCTTCCCGGGTCACAGCAGAGAGCTGGACTGGAAGAGGAGCAACCCGGACTAGAACTGGCGCCCATATGGGATGCCAGCACTGTAGGCGGAGGACCAACCCAGTGCACCACAACAACGCCCCCACCACCACCACCACCAAGTCCCATCTTACAGGGAGTGTGGGCCACCACTGCCACTCCTCCACCTTTGAGGTACCACCCTAGGGTTGGACCTTGGAGCCAGAGTGACCTCAGTTCCATGCGTGGCCCTGGAGACAGGCATATATTTCTCTGGAGGGAACAGGTCCCACAAGGCGAATGCTTCTAGGTCACTTCTGCAGGCTGGAGGTGTACCGGCTCAGTGGCTGACGGCTCTGGGACAGGGGGTCTGTCTGAACCTGGGCTGGACCACCTGCCGGCTGAGCATCTTCAGGCCAGTTAGTTGTCCTTTCTAAACCTTGGTGTTTCCATTTGTAAAGTGAGGAAAATGGACAATGTCCACCGCAAGGGACATGGAACTTCCTGGAGAAATCCCAGGGGGTGCCTGTGGCCCAGGGCAAGCCCTCTCCTGACCAGCACTGGCCGTCACTTTGCCTTAAGGGAGGTGACTGCAAGTCCAGGCGGCTGATGCATCCAGACTGAGATCTCAGAGCTTCCCCTATGAGCGCCCTAAGCTGAGCCGTTTGTTAACCTGATGGCGCCTCAGCTTCCTCGCACGTGATGAAGAACCGTCGCGGGTTCCAGCAGCACACCTGATACTCTTCCTGACTGTCTTCCACGCAGCAAGTGCGCAACAAGCAGGAGGCGTTGCGCCTGCGACCGTGGCGCACAGGTAACGCTGCCCAGCAGTGGGCGCCACTGGTCTGCAGCGCTGCTGAGCAAGGTGCAGCGCCGGCTGTGGCATTTGAGGAAACACAGATTCTCCCGAGGTCCCTGAGTACGAGCTACAGAGCCTTAGGCCCACAAGGTTCAGAACGAGTAAGTGCGGCCTCAGCGCACACACTGCACTTGTGGTTTCCTTCACTGTTGGGCTCATGTAGCTGATTTGTTTCTTGTTAGGTTAAGCTCCCCGTGCCAGCCCTCCTGGGCTAAGTTTCCGCCCAAGGAGTTGAGGCTCTTAGGTGGGACTGCCCAAAAGGTGCAGAGCGTCCCTGGGGGCTGTCTGCACAGCATCCTCATAGAATCCTGAAAGCCCAAAACCCCAGCACCACACCTGATCTACAAAACAGAAAACTCGCTCCTCAGCGGTCAGCAGGGGAGAGCTTGCATCCCCGCTACGAGTCCACAACCCACTGCATTAACACCAACGTGGGACGCCAAGTGCTGCAGGGTCCCTGTGCTGAGACACAGCCACAGGGGATGCTTCTCCCGAGTTTACAAAGAGGTGGGATATGCCCTGCACCCTCACCCCCCAACAGTCTCTCACCCAGAGAAAGAGAGTAGAAATACCAACAAGAAATAGATGATGGATTCTATCAGCTAAATTGGACGCTGCAGCAAGTGGAATTCAGCCTGCCTGGAGAGACCTTCCAGAAATGTACTCAAGTCACCAGGACCCCCATCTCCGAGGGCAGAAGTGGGAGAGACCCACTGCCTCTTGCCATCATGCCAGTGCTGGTGAAAGGAAAACCCAAATCAAATCGTCCCCAAAGCCGGCCTCTGCCAAGGCGCCAGAAGCGCATCTGAGAAAACAAAGGGTCATCTGTCTCCGTGTGCTCCTGGCCGGCCTCCGGAAGTCGTTGTCCGCCTGCCGAGAACAGCATCTGACCAGCCAGGGAGGCTCCCACCAGGAGTAGTAGCGGAGCAGGTGTTAAGAGCCACAAGTTGGACCCACGGTTGACGTGTCCAGTGTGCTGGGAAACCCAGGGATCACTCAAAACCACCCTGGGTGCCCATGTCTGTCCCCCCGTGGGCAAGGACAGCCAACCCAGCATGAAGTAACACAGAGGGGACTTCGGAGGAAAACGCTGTAACCGACCGGTCTGGTTTTTACATAACATCCTTAGAGGAAGCCAGAGACACAGGAACACTGATCATCCAGTTTCCAAATTCACTGCGTGGGCCACTGTATATTCATAAACATCTCATGAGTATTTGGGAGGGGGGCTATTTGAAGCAATGCAGTCTAAACATTTTACAGACGTTTTAAACACTTTTTTACATATGATTCCCCTGCAGCCAACAAACCACACAGCCTAAGCGGCTGTTTTGCTTTATTTCGGCATTTTTCATGCATTCCTCCAACACACATTAACTTCTGTGCACTGAGCACTTTTCTAACGCATATTTTAATGGGGGTTTGGCTTATCTGCCGACTGGAAACTGTCCCCATCTGGTCACACAGCAATCACCAATCCGAATGCATATCCCAGAGGTAGAAACACGGGGTGAGAGCAGGGGAAAGTGCTTTGCTTTCCCAAACGCCATCAAAACCCAACGGAAAGTCTCGCTCCTGTTCCCAGAGAACGACACCAGTGTTCGGCCGCGGGGCGGGAGAGGGGGGCTCGCCTGCATCTGGAGGGGCTCACTCACCGCCTTTTCTGAAGAAGTGAATAAGCGCCCCGGATGAATTTAATCCCCAGGAAAGAAAAACACGCAGGAAAGGGCATTTCTTTCCACGGTCATGCCCTGGCCTGCAGGGAACAGAAATCATCTTTGATCCCGCACACCTGCCGTGGACCGGGCAGAAAGCCAGGGGAGGGGCTGTGCCCTCAAACAGAGGCAAGGCCAGAAAGTTCATGCAACTTCATATCCAAAATGTGTCAGAGAGCAGCCTCGGGCGGAAGCGGAGAGAGCCAGCCCGGCCGCGAAGGCAGCGCCAAGGGCAGGCGGGGGCGCCTGGGTGGCAGGTGCCCCCGGGGGCTGCGCGGTGGGTCTGAGCCGGGGCTCTGGGCTCGCCTCCGAACGCGAGGCGCCCGCTCCCCACCGCTGGAGCCCGAGATGGGGCTCGGACATCTCCGAGAGAACCTGCGCCAGTTCCCCGCCTCTTTCCCGGACCGCGGATCCCAGGCTCCAGCGCCGAGCGCGCCCGGGGCGGACGCCGACAAGAACCCCCACCCCCACCCCGGGCTGCGGCGCCGGACGCCCGAGCCTCCGCCGCAACAGTTTTCCCGCGGGAGAGGCTCCGCAAACGCCGCCTGGGAGACGCTGGGCCGGACTCGGAAGGGCGCCGCGGCGCCAGCGCGAGATGCGGCCAGGAGCAGAAGCTGCCGCCGCCGCCGCGCAAACCTGCACAGGCGGGGAACTTCCCGGGGCGCGGGCCAGGGGAGCAGCCCCGGACCCCCGGGCGGCGGCTGGTCCCGCGTGCCGGCGCGGTGGCGGCGGCCGGAGCAGGTCCCAGCCCCACGGCGCGCGGGTCTCCTGCAGACCAGAGTCCCGGAAAGGCGCTCTCTGGGTCCCGGAGGGCACCTCCCGGGCACTCGGCGGGGAGGGGACCCCGGCCGCGGCGGGACGCGGCGGCGCACAACAAAGTTGGGGCGCAGAGAGGCTCGGTCGCTGGGCGCCGGTCCGGCCGCCCCGCCTGCAGCTCGCCGCTACTTACACGAAGACCCCGAAGAGCAGGGCTCGCACCCCGATCTCGATGGCCAGCTCCCGCATGGTGCGGCCCGAGCGGCTCCCGCGGCGCCGGCTGGTGCTCTCCGCGGCTCCCGCAGCTCGGCCGACGCGGGCTCGCCAGACCCTGGGCGGCGAGGGAGGCGCGCTCCAGGCCGCGGGCGGGGGCGGGAGGCGGGCGCCAGGCGGGGGCGGGCAGGCGGCGGGGAGGGCTCAGCCCAAATCGCCCGCCTCGGGTCCCGGGGCTCCGGGACGCCGCGCCGCGGGGCCGCGTCTGCGCTCCGAGCGGGGGACACCTCGGGGACTCCCCGCTTCCCCGCGCCGGGCGCCACCTCCGCGTCCGGAGCCGGCGCTGGCCGCCCACGGCCCGGGGAAGGGAGGCCGGGGAAGCCCCGCGGCCGCCGCCGCCGCCGCCTCTGCCTCTGCGCGCTCCTCGGCTCCCCAGCCAGTGGGCGGCCCCTGGGCTCCGCGCCCGGGCGGCGCGCTCGCCGGGGCTCTGCCTGCGCCCCTCTGCGCCCCGGAGTTCTGCCTCCGACCCCCGCCCTCGGCTCTCGGCCCCTGGCGCACGCCCGCACGTGGGCTCGGAGTCTGGAGCGCTCTGGGGTCGCTCTGGGCTCGGGGAAGCCCAGGCTCCTTCCGTCCCTGCCGCGGATCGCTCCTCCCTTCCGTTCTCTGCCCTCCCTACACCTTTCCAACCTGAAATTCTTTGTTTTCTCTAGGAAGTTCCCCAGAGGTCACTGACGGGCTTCGCTTTGCTCTCAGGAGGCCAGCTCTGATACAGTCTGAGAGCAAAACCGAACCTGGCTCCCCGCCATTCCACGGCGGCAGGTGGCTCGGGGAGGGGTGGGATCCCCCTCGACCACCCCCTCCCCGGCGCCCGCAGCTGTGCGCTGGCTGTGGCGCGGCACCCCTGGCTGCGCGCGGCGGGCGGTCGGGGGCGCTCCTGGCTGACACAGCATTCAGGCAGCAGGGGGAACCGGAGCTCCCTCCTCGGGGTTCAGAGCTGAAAGCCCAACCCCCCAACAGTGGCCGCAAGCTGGAGCCCGATTTGGCTTTGCTTTCCCATCACCTGTCAGGACTTTGTAGACTTCTCTTGGAATCTGAGCTGGGCCTTAATACTTTAAAGCAAAAACACATGCGAAATGCGCAACTCGGCATTATCAGTAACCATCAAGTCGTTCCTAGCGAGCTCCGGGCTTCCCTGCTTTTTAGGAGAGATCCAGCCACGATTTCGGGAGCCCCAGGTGGTTCCTGGGGTGGAGGCGCCCTGTTCTCCATCTTGGACAAAAGAGGAGGGTTGGAGCAAAGGGCGAACTGACCCTACCTCCAGAGGAAATGCGTGACAGATCCCAGATCTCAGAACCAAGACCTCTCTGTCTCAGACACATCTCTAGGAAGGGACCCAGGCTCGGTGTGAAAAGGGCTGTCTCTGCCTTCCTCATCACTGTAAACCCAATGCCAAGGCCCACCCCTAGTCCTTGGTGAGTATTCAATTAATGAATAAGTGAATGGGAGATTAGATAGCTCATCAGGCCCTGCGAGTGTCAGGTGCAAAGGAGTAGGAGAGACTTGGAGAGGTGTGTTTGTCTCTCCTGTGTCGGGCCCAGCAGCACCCTGAGCAGAACAGGACACGCCATGGGTTGACAAAATGGGATGGGAGAGTGCAGAGTCAGCCCAGGGAACTCTGATGGCCGAGACCAGACACTGACTGTCAGGTGGCCATCTTCCAGGGGAGACGCCGGCAGGAGCCCCTCATATTGAGGCATTGCCCATCCACAAGCATGCATTGAGCACAGCCCGTGCAAGGCTGTGTGCTGGGTGCCGGCGTTCCGAGTCCGCCGTGGCTGTGTGCTGGGTGCCGGCGTTCCGAGTCCGCCGTGGCTGTGTGCTGGGTGCCGGCGTTCCGAGTCCGCCGTGGCTGTGTGCTGGGTGCCGGCGTTCCGAGTCCGCCGTGGCTGTGTGCTGGGTGCAGCGTTCCAAATCCGCCGTTGCTCTCAAGACGGGGGCTGGCCAGCGTGCAGGGACGGAGCCAAGTCTGGGGTGATGGTGTGAAGCTGAGTGTGGCGGTCATTACCAGGATCACAAAATGAGGACTTAGCACCATACTATGTTTCTTGTTTGTGATACCCAGGGAGGGCATTTGGGCACATGGCTATCACTGGAGACATTAAGTGACTTTGGAGCACACGGACCACAGGAGCTGCCCAGGTCAGCCCCTCCCCCGCCCCCTGCCCTGCCAATGTGATGCTGCAGGTTATTCTACACTGTGCCCTCCTGCTGTGGTCCTGTGCGGGCAGCAGACTCACCCTGGAGGGAGCTCATGCCTTCGGCAGATAGCTCTGTCGGATCAGGAACTGCACCACGTTGTCCTGCAACTTAACATCAGTGCCTTGGGCCTGCCCTGTCCAGAATTTAGACACTCACTGAGTGGCGCTGTCCCCAGTGTTTTCACGGAGATTCACATTTTCAAAGCGCCACTTTGAAGAAATCTCTCATACTTCACAATGAGCTTATGGGCATGCCAAGAAAATTCCCGTCATGCCTCTGCAGGCATGGCCAATGTCATTGGAGGGTTCTTAAACCCTCAGCAGAATTGTCCAGCACAATGATCCCAGATTGGCCAGACTTTTACAAATCCAAAGCCACTTTCAGAGAACACAAATTGGCAACAACTTATAATCTCATTTCCCAAAGTTACGCTCTGTGTCAGATTGACAGGTGTCTAGCTGCCCTGAGTGGCCCTTCCCTGTGGAGATGCAAACCTGTGCCTGAGACACCAAAAGATCCGAGAAGAATTTCAAAGTAGGTCACTGAGTTCAACCCCGTGCAGGAGGACTGAAAACTTGTAGGAGTCCCCCCATTTCTCTGAGGTCCTGCTCATAGTCAACACCAAGGGGACTTGGGCAAAATGTTCCTAGCAGCTTTATTCATAATTTACATCCTAGACGCTGGAATCCATGCACATGCTCACTCACAGGATGGACTGATAGTGGCCCAGACAGTGGGATTCTACCCACATAATAAAAGGAGAGAGGTACTGATGCATGCAAACACATGAGGAGATCTGCAAAGCACATGTAAGCAAAAAACCAGTGGATAACCGAAGACATCCATGTGGGCGAATTTACAGCACAGTCCAGAACAAGCAGAACGGGGCTCTGGTGATAGAGAGCAAAATGGTGGTCACCTCCTGGCGATACAAGAAAGAAGGAAAGGAGACTTTGTGAGGTGTTAGAAACAGGCTATGTTTAATTTAAATGTTGTTAACATTTGTCAGTACTCTACACTTCATATCTATGATGTTATGGGGCCGGCATTGTGACATAGCGGGAAAAGCCACTGCCTGTGATGCCAGCATCCCATATGGTGCCAGTTTGTGTCCTAGTTGCTCTACTTCTGATCCAGCTCCCTGCTAACAGCCTGGGAAAGGCAGCAGAAGATGGCCAAGTGTTTGGGCCCCTGCCACCAAGCAGGAGACCTGGAAAATCTCCTGGCTTTGGCCTGGCCCAGAGCTATCCAGTGCAGTCCTCTGGGGGAGTGAACAAGCGGATGGAAGATATCTCTCTCTCTCTCTCTCTCTCTCTCTCTCTCTCTGTCCCCCTCTCCCTCTCCCTCTCCCTCTCTCCCTCCCTCCCTCCATGCCTCCTTCCCTCCCTCCCTCCCTCCCTCCCTGTGTGTAACTCTTTCAAAATAGATATATCTTTAACAAAAATTTTAAAAAAACCATGACTTTATTCTGTGTAAATTATATTTCAATTTTTTAAAAGAAAATAATAGGTCACAGGATGTGGAGGGAAATTCTCAGTGAGACTCTCCCAAGCAAATCATGCCAGCTCCTCAATCCGTCCAAGTATTCCGCCTGCCAGTGAGTCAGAAGCACTCAACAAACAATGCTATGGTTGTCTCACAAAGACCCAGACTAAAAGGCTGCTTCCAGAAAATACTGGGAAATTCCTCAAATGCTCCTTTGCAAGGAGACACTCAGATAATGGTGTAAATTGTTTCTGAAGAAATATACTCACTCTGAAAAAGAAGCTACCCCAAAAGGGTGGTCAGAAATGTAACATTCTATTTCTTGATGCAACTGGTTAGAGGAGCCAAGAGGCAGGGGAGAATCTGTAAGGCTTTCCCCACGGTGGGCATGGTAAACACCAAAGGTTCAGGATCTTGGCATCTCTGGAGTAGACAGAACTCTGACACTATCTGTTCAGCCGCCATTGAAACCAGGCGTAGCAGTCAGCCTCTCACTACATCAACTAAAACACCCAAGAGGGGCTACTGGGGCAGGAAAAGGTTGAATTCATGTTACGGTTCAGAGGGCCAGGTTGGAGTTCAGGATCAGGTGGTGTCACTCTGGTGTCTGGTGGAGGCCACGGCAGAGCAGGTGCAGAGGGGTGATCACTCCGGTGGGCCAGGAAGCAGAGAGAAGCCAGGCTGAACTAGCGCAGAGAGCCAGCCCTCTCAGGAGCACTCCCTTCTGAGGGCACGCCCCCTTGATCTCAAGACCCCCTCCCCAGACCCACCTTCAGATACCATAATTAGTTCCGGTCTTCATCCCCAGTCCTTCCAAGTTAAGACTGCAGAGGTGTTTTTTTTTTTTTTTTACAGGCAGAGTGGACAGTGAGAGAGAGACAGAGAGAAAGGTCTTCCTTTTGCCATTGGTTCATCCTCCAATGGCTGCCGCGGCCAGTGCACCACGCTGATCCGATGGCAGGAGCCAGGTGCTTCTCCTGGTCTCCCATGGGGTGCAGGGCCCAAGCACTTGGGCCATCCTCCACTGCACTCCCTGGCCACAGCAGAGAGCTGGCTTGGAAGGGGGGCAACCAGGACAGAATCCGGCGCCTAGTGAGCCGTGGCGCCGACCCAACTGCAGAGTTTAAACATCTACGTGGGTTTGGAGAGCTAAGTGCTGCTCAACCCATAACACCAAGGTCTCTTCTCCAGGATCCCTGCCGGTTATGAATCTGGCCACTGATCTGCTCCAACCGGTGAGCTGCATACTTTCCAGCCAACTCTTCATTTGTTTGCAAGTTCTTCTCCTTTAACCACAATCTTCTTTCTTCCAATCTTTCATGTGCTGGTCACATTTTAACATTCAGAAGAAGAAGACAGCTCCACCCAACTCCTCATCTCCAATCTTCTGGGAGCCAAGGGAAGCCAGACTGTTCATTCAACCCATCGTCCTTCCTTAGCATCACATCGTGCCCTATGAGTGTTGCACAAGCCTCCACCCATGAAAAGGAAAATGTTCTCTTTTATGAATCAGGAACTCTCGGGTCCAAAGCACTCCCTGTGAATGAAGTCAGCAGCCAATCCCCAGTGAAGCACACACAAGAGGACTGCAGAGTGAGGCAGAACCTCTTCATCTCTAAATAGCAACCCTTACCAAAGGCTATTATTTCACTGTTACAGCCTCATTCCTGCAGGTAGTGAAGGGAGTTCCCTCCTCAAAGATCCCCTTGTTAAGTGCAGGATGCCCCAAGGAAAGTCCCGCATGCATCTGTTTATTGGCAGCATCTTATTTTTCATTTGTCAGTTTGCTATTCACAGCAGTCTCCCATGCATCCCCTCATTTGAGCCTTAGCAGGAGTTCAGGTGAAAGAGAATGGGATATTAGTACTATT